CATCTCAGAATCCTTTAACCCAGATACATCTCAGAATCCTTTAACCCAGATACATCTCAGAATCCTTTAACCCAGATACATCTCAGAATCCTTTAACCCAAACATAACTCAAAATCATTTTTACCCAACTATATCTCAGAATCTTTTTACCCAAACATAACTCAAAATCATTTTTACCCAACTATATCTCAGAATCCTTTCCACCCAGACCTGTCTTAGATTTTACTACCGTGGACTCGTTTGTTAGTGTTTGAAAAGACACAGTTTTCCTGAAACCTATAAAGCGCCAGAAGCACTGAACTCACTCCATTGAATTTTCTATTCACGTTCATGTTATTAGTCTTCTAACAAGGCTACACTTTAGAGCGAATTACTCCAGAGCTAAGTGAGAAAAAACAAGAATGGAGCCTATACAGTGAAGGTAAGATCTATGCATCTGTCATTTCATTCTTGTCACTAACATTTTTTTTTTAATTCCAGACACTTATTTTCAACAAAAGATTCCCATGTTAACTCGCGAGATTCTTCTTATTTTTGAATTAATTTTAACAATCTCCTACAGGGCTGGAGTCAAATAATCTCGAAATAGCCTTATTTTTTTTAGAATATCAACAAACTTATATCACCGTTTTCGATAATAGCTATTACTAAAGTATGAAAGCCTGTAATAAGCAAACATCTATAAATCAAGCCTTTACACAAAACCACAACAAATTAATTGAAACGAATATTTCGGTCGTTGCTGAACATACTGTAGATACAATAAAGAATCCCAGGTAATTATCAGTAAAAACTTCTGAGTGAAAATTGAAGTGAGAGTATAATAATATCTCAACCACATTATATTAGATAGGTGTTTCCATACCGAAATGTAAGCACGGACACAAATACAAGAGAAAGAAGTGGAACAAACCGAGTATCAAGAATCCGTGGGGAATCCTCGTTCCATAGGCTGTAAGAAAGAAGTGGAACAAACCGAGTATCAAGAAGCCGTGGGGAATCCTCGTTCCATAGGCTGTAAGAAAGAAGTGGAACAAACCGAGTATCAAGAATCTGCTTGGAATCCTCGTTCCATAGGCTGTAAGAAAGAAGTGGAACAAACCGAGTATCAAGAATCTGCTTGGAATCCTCGT